GGGGGAACAGTCACTGCTTACAGAGACTAAAGGAGTGAGTCTAGAAAATAAGAATACTACAGTACTACAGAGCCTTAAGGGGAGGATCATATAAATTTTATTGTGACAACCAAATCTTCCAGACTCCCCCCCCACCCTACTCCACTGTATACTTATGGTGAATTTATCGTGAGTGCTAACCTGCAACATCAATGACGTAAATAATATAATCAGCCAGTTCCCTGCTGTAATTGGCGGCAAGGTTGTCTCCACCTGACTCAATTATCACCAGATCTGGTTGGAATGTTTTGGTCAAGTCTTTGACTTCCTCCATGTTCAATGAATAATCCTACCAAATGTGGTGAGACATCCCAGGTTAGCATAAAGCCTTTTTCTTGAGTGGTATATTTGAATAACAAGAAATCCATTTTTGTTATTTACTGGGCAAGGGGTCTGTATGAAAGAAAACCACACGAAACTATAGCTAGACCAAGGGTACAACTTTCCCATTATGGAGTGGGACTGACAGAGAAAAATAAAAACTTTTCTAAGTTCTACTGATTTTATTTTTTCCACTTTGCTACCAATGGCACAGTAAAAAATTTGATCTGTGGTTCATACTGTAAAAAAAAAAAACTTAATCAGCTGTCTGGGGAATTGTCTAAACTCTAATCATGGTTATCAAATTAAATCTATTTATAATTTATATGCATTTTATTTATACCCCTTTACCCTTTAACTCTCATAAGTGATTAACAAGTAACTTCTCCGAATAATATCCCTACATTATCCAGCAAACAGGTAAAGGGAATATTGAAATTTATCAGCTAGAAGTTGAAACCTTGATCTAATACTAAATTCTTGTAACTAATTTACAAGAAAATAATTGTGTAGTAGCTAGAGGGGAGAATTAAAAATCAGATCTTAGGAGTTAAAAGGTTTTGAAGGACACCTAGTTCAGAGTAAACTGGTTAAAGCTAAACTGTGGATTAAAAATATTTTTGTTGTACCTCCCTTATAGCAGCATGAGGACAGCCTCCTGTCTCCACGGCTCGCATTCTTTCCTCTGGTAAAGCTTCATTTTTAACAAGAAATTCCCAATCTTCCCTGAAATTCATGGTCAGTTATTTTGGAGAGAAAATGATTGAGAAGTTATTAGTACCAAAATGAAAATTTGAGATGCTATCTGAGGTAAAATGTGTTACGTGCATTTACCTAGTGAAAATATCATTTGTGACAACACAGACTCCGTGGGAATCCCTTAAATGTCTGCAGAGAGCCAAGACTAACGCAGTTTTTCCTGATCCAACTGGACCACCAATACCAACCGTAAATGCACGCTGGAAAGGAAAAGGAAGAAGATTTATTGCAGCTCCTATAGAGGCAGCAAATGGTGCCTGGATGAAGTGTGGCTCTCAAAAATGTTTTCATTTGATCTTGAAATCCCATCAGCCTATTGGAGGAGTCTTGTTATCATTTTTAGGGTGCACCTGTAAGTTTCTTGAATTTTTGCAATTGTTGAACACTCATGAGGTCTCAGATTTGTTCACATGGCCAAGGGCTTGAGTCAAAGGTAAGCAGAGTGGCTTGGAGTAAGTTATTGTGAATAATAGAAGTCTCAAGCTCTATGTACTTCTGCCATTTTCTAAAATTTTTCCTCAAAAGCAGCTGGCACTCAAGTCCAAGAAAGTCTCAGTTTGTGTCTATTCAGTTGGTGTCTATCTCATAATAGATAGGAGGTAGCATAGCCAATCAGATTGAAGCATTTATGATAATTTGTGATAGAATACTGATAGATCTATAGTGGTAAGGTACAAAAAAATATTATATAATAGCACCATGGTATTAATAAGGAGTTGTGTGGCAAGCATTCTGAAGTCTTTACCTCTCATTTTTAAAAATGGGTCTCAGTATCTCAGCAAGTCTCAGCAAGTCCCAGATTTCACCATGCATGTACCACCCTTCCCTAATATGACTAAATGCTTCTCTGACTAGAGAAGTGAATTAGAGAGTGCATGAAGGATTAAAACCCTCCAGAAAGCTGTGTTGAAACTCACTTGTTTCCAGTCAGATCTATTGACCATTTTGTCCCTTTCTGTCCATAAGCCAGGATTTGACATAAATTCATGGGTGTGTCCATGCTCATTGGCACCATGACTGTGTTCATGGGGTGCTGAATGATCATGGTGATGATGATGATGATGTTTTTCAGGAGAAGTACTGATATTACCAGCTAAAAAGAGAAAAACAACTCACTTATTTTTATGAAGTGATCATCACACTTATCCAAAAGTCTTGCAAGGATATCCTGATTTGATGAAGAAAGAGCCGATCATGTAAAGGCCCCTGGTATATTTCATGGCTTCCTCACTGCCTCAAGTCAATTTTTTTTTCTTTACACTTGTAACTTGATAATTAAACTTACGGTAAAAAATTAAATTAAATTTTAACAATAAAAATAGATTTCAATGCAAACATATCGGAGGGACCCTACCCTCAGAATCAGAGAAAATCTTGCGGGAGATCTGAAATCTTCACACAAAAATATGGTTTAAAAGAAAGGAGTTGAAGGTAAAAAACAGTAGCCTCTTTCGAAAAATCAATAGTTGGGTTATTATGCTTTCTCTATTGAGTCCCGAAGAACGATACCCATCATGCCAAACGCCCCCTTTTAGAGAGGCTCGTTACAATTGTCTCGGTGACTTCATTTCAAACCTCATGATTCATATTTTCGTACCTTTTATAAAGCTACAAGGTTTTTCTTCGTTGTCTCCCATCTCGTAAACCTGACATAGAAAATAAATAGGACCTCGTGCAGAGAGAGAGATAGTGGGGTCGAAAATCTAAATGAAACAGGCGTTCCCATCTTGAGCGAGCTGTAGTACTGGGGCGAGCTTACTTTGTGGTTGCTAAGTTGTGCTAATCCTCCATATTGAAAAGCAATTTGTGTGTTGTACTTACTGCTTTTTCGGCATCTGTGAGGGGAGAAAGCTTCTAAATGGACGAATATCAGTCAGCAGAAGAAACATCCTTCGTCGTAGACGAGGTTAGCAACATTATTAAAGAGTCTGTCGAAGGAGCGATCGGCGGAAACGCTTACCAACACAACAAAGTGAATCAGTGGACTTCGAATGTCGTCGAGCAATGTTTGAATCAACTAACCAAGCTCGGAAAGCCATTCAAGTACATTGTGACCTGTGTCATCATGCAGAAAAATGGAGCCGGCCTTCACACGGCAAGTTCTTGTTTCTGGGATAACACTTCTGATGGAAGTTGTACAGTGAGATGGGAAAACAAGACCATGTACTGCATCGTGAGCGTTTTTGGACTGGCGATTTGATTTGTAAACAAGATGACGTGGAACAGTTTTTAAAATCAAGAACAGTGCTATGCAAGAAACAGTTTTGTAACATGTAGGTTTCTAAGTTGATTTTAAACGTGGCAACTGCGTGTGAAACTCAAAACTAGCCACTAAAATGTTCATTTTAATTTCACAAAGTTTAAACATGTTCACTGTCATTTATCTCGATACTAAAACAATTAACATAATTTCTGTTTACAAGCACTTATACTGGTGCATACCAGTGCAATTGTTAATCTTCTCGCTACAATACTGAGAAGTTTTCAGCAATTTTCTGTTATTTACTTTAAAGCCAATATGTCTGCCTAAGAATTGATATATGTATGACTATTATTTTACAAGAGCCCTACAGATTTGAGCCGTGACTGTGTTGGAATACGGTATATTTTGTACATTTAATAAACTTTATTGTATTCTTGAAATTGTGAATGATTGTACATTAGATTGAGTAGCAGTGATCACACTTTTGTTCAGATTCCTCTTCACAGAACTATCAACATAGTTATTACATATCTTTCCCAATAAACAAACTTCAGGACCACAGAAAGAAATTAATAAAATTGATGAGACCAATTCTGGTGCCAAGAACCTCATCATTTTTTTTTACTCCAGAACCTTAAGTCTCACCTTTGTACATAACATCGCCAGGCAAGTGCAACAAAGATCTCTGGAGTAGAGCATTCCCAATATTATAGCAAGCAGTAGTGTATCAGTAAATTCAAAGCTTGAGCATCCTCCTCCAGATAAGTCCCCTTGCATTTGAACTTTTGAAGGCTGGTTTGTTCAAATGCCTGCCCCCTGTGCCAAAATTGTGTTCAGATGTGCTACATGAGCAGAGAATTTGCTGATCAAATTTTTGGTAAAAGGCAAGGTCAGTAGCTTCCTATCCACTAACTGCCAAATCGGGCAGATCTAGGGGGAAGGGTGCAGGGGGTGCACCCCCCCCCCCCATGAGATGACCTGCAGCTAATACAAGTGGTATTCCTCCTCAAAAAAATCCTGGATCCACCCCTGCAAATGATTTGACTATTCTTGCTTTAAAAACCTTGATCTTGTAGACCTTTTCTTCTGAGCCATTTGCTTGCAAAAGTAAACTCTTCACCTTTAAAAACTTCCCTAATAAAAGATAAAGAAGTGTATTTGCAGTGAAACAATTTGAAACTTTTGGCTCAAATTCCCCACACCACCCAGACAAGGTTCAAATTCCCCACCCCTGAGCACAGATGACATTCAAATGCCCATGGCACACCTCAGGGGAGGGGTGATAAGTTGAAGCTTTGGATAAATTGGTGCGAAAACCACGATGCACATCTGAATCAGAACATTTACCTTCTTTATTTGAATAATAGCAACAGATAATTACTGCAACCTGATAAGTGAACAGTTGATTACATGTAACTCCTCAAGAGAATGTGCTACATCTATTAAATGAAATACAACAGCATTATTTCAACAAAAAGCACCACTCAAAGCTCCATCTTTCAACAAGCTTGACTGACATCTATGTCTAAACCTAACATTTATAACATCCAGTTTAGTTAAACCTTTTTTTGTTTGAAATTATAATAACACTCTAGAAAAAATGGCAAAAAAATTCATAACCACACGATATTCTATATAATCAACTTTGAATGTGCTGAACTGGGTCACCATTGAACATTTCAAGTATGATATTTTGATTAATCTTAGCAATTCACCAAATCAAAATATGGCCTCCAATTTGAATTACTATTGTTTTGGACTCACTAGCCTCGTCTTCACATCCAAACACAAAAGGATTATCACATGTGTGAGAGGCTAGTGAGTCCAGAACAATGGCTATTCAAATTGGACACCATATTTCGATTCAGTGTTTCACAAGATTAAATCTGGACTGTTCTTAATTAATGAACTTAGTTGACTATAGAAATGTTATACATTTAGTTTCTGTTGTTGACTTTTCTTCTGAAACAGGATGCAGAAATACCTATTGCCATCTGACCTCCAATATTACAACACATCTCCTTACCTACTGAAGAAATTACACCCCATTACTCATTTAATCCTTTAATCCCTGTAAAAGTGACCAGCATCTAATTTCTCCTTACAATATCACCCTTGGATCAAACATTAAGGTTAAGAGAATAAAGGAAATGATCACCAAATTAAAAAACACTCTTGATTTCAAACAAATTCTCCTTGCCAGTACCATAGGAAATATATGCAGAACAGTTTAGAGAATTTGTATACTGATGTTAGGGTGTAAAAGGGTTAAGACACAGCGTAAGCTCTAGTATGCATGAGACACTCTTGTGACAGGAAAAAGGTGTTACTTTGTAATTGAAGCTAGAGTGGAATGACGGGCAGCCACTTGAGATTTATACCACACATGGCCACTTTTGGGCACTTGTCAAGGTAACCATTTCTCAAATACAAGTCCTCCTTACTTCACAGGCCAAGAGCTGCATCCTATAATTAACATATACAAAAAGCTGTCCTTTGACAAGAGTTTCTTTAAGGGGAGTTTGTTGTGTAACCTCATCAACCATAGTTATTGTAATTACAAGACTGGTATTAATAACAGTTCATCATTTATGCCTAATAACATCCAGTTTCTAAATTTAACCAGAATTTGTTTCATCGGAGTAATGTATCTTGAGCAACCCTTTGCGTCTGTTCCTCTATGCTTTTAGAAGATAAAAAATCGCTGAGCCATAGGGATAGTTTCTGCTGGACTGCATGTAATGTGCTCCTTAGCAGATGGATTCTCAGGATCCACAATGTGAACTTTGTATGTCTGGGGATCCACTGCAAAGCAACAAAACCGAAAACAAAGAGTAAACAGTCAAGTAAACAGTTATCACTGGATGTAAAAATAGAGTCTGTAGTTGAGCCAAGTGGCACACACAGACAGAGCTCATCCCGGTTTCCTTAGCATGAAGGGACTAGGGGGAATACTACTCCCCCCCCCCTGGATGGGAAGCCAGTCCCCCAAGCATTTCATCAGGCTTCCCTGACAATTCACCACTACCCTTTCACACTCCTGGATGGAGAGAGGCACTGCGAGAGTAGTGTGCTGCCCAAGAACACAACAAAAGGACCCGCCCAGATCTCAAACCCAAACCTCTTGACCCTGGCACACAAACCATTACCATGACAAGATGGAAAATGCATGCACTGTGTAAGTACCTCCCATTGTCCCATACAAATATTTTGTATTCTAAGGCTTTGTATAGGACAACAGAAGGTACTTACAGTTCACGCATTTTCCGTCCTGTCATGACTGTGTCTCCCAACAATTACTGGATGACAATGTGCAAAATATCAAGATCTAATCCTGAACAGAAACCTGGTCAGCCATTTTTCTTTCTATCTCACCTGTAAGCTTGGGCAAGTAGTTGTTTAGCACCATGTCTTTCTTTTTCACTGTGCGGCACCTGTAGACAAACAACGTTTAAGAATCAATCAAAGCCTACATGGATAGATAGGTGTTACTTGACTGCAGAAAAGTTAAAGGAAGCACAACTTAACCCAGTACATCGTAACAACAGTATTCATATTCTCCACACTGTTCTCTATACATCTCCTCAGTGCTGACAAGGAGAATTTGTTAAACAATTAAACAATTGTAGAGCTTTCCTTTATTCTTCTGAACTAAATGTGTGACGCAGGGATGAATTGTAGGAAGAAATTAGATTGATGCTAGTCGCTCTTGGTGGCCAAAGGGTCATTAAGTTGACAAATAAGAGTGTAAACATTTTCAACAGGCTAGACTACAAGTAGTCCCCCCCTATTTGGTGAAGTCCTAACCTCAATTTTTTTTCCCCTGACTTTTTTTTTTTAAACTCGCATGACAAACTTGGCCAAAACAAAGGGACTGCTTGCAGTCTAACGGTCTAGTTTATTGGGCAGGCACTCAAGCAGTCAATCAATCATTTTGTCAGTCATTTGTTTGGTCAGTCTCTTGACCATTCTCCCAAAGTTGATCAATGGGTCATTAAATCACTTAGTCTGTCTGTCAGATGGTCTGGCGGTCTGTCGGATCCATCTGTCTGTCTGAATGGTCCACCTGCAGGGACTTCAATAACTGGCTAACAATAGTGAGATATGGGGCAGTGCCTGAAAAGGGGCTGCAAGGGGAAACCCAAATGCAAGAGCCTGCTTGCAGGCTTAACAAACTGTGGTAAGAGGTCTTAAAGGCTGAGGTTGTTCATCAGTAACTGGCTCTTACTGAAAACCCTATCATCTGTCTTAACTTAGATTTTATCATCAAACTTCCATCAAATTTGTGGATGCAACATTCCAGGATGCCCTTTACCCCTTAACTGCAACAGACTTCTTGCTGATACCATATGTCTGACACACATTGTGCTTGGTACATTCCTAAACACATTTATGAAAAGAAAAACATACTGTTAATCAAAAATACGTCCCCATAAAAGTTCCGGTCAATTCTGATTTTTAACTATGAAAAACTGTATGATCACCTCCAAACTACTACAAGAGCTTTCCTAGGCCCGTAAAACTATCAAACTTTCACTGACCTGGCTGACAAACACAACAGAGTTAGCTCCAATAGCAGCCCCAAAGGCGCCAAACATGGGGCGTGGCCTCACAGGTTGTGGAGTTGGTATGGAGGCATTGGGATTCCCTAATGAAACAAAAACAGTTTTTAATTTAGTTGTAAAATACAAAATATTTCACATTTTTCAAAATATTTAATTTTTTAATAATCTTACAAATGGGTATGAATCTTTCGAGACTGATATCAACAAAAGTGCTCCAACTGAAAAAAGCGTTGAACTTGGTCAAATAGCTTCCCTCAGTTGCCAATTTTAATGTTCCCACAAGAAGCAGAACAATGCCATGAGTTGGCTTTCCTTGAATTGTTTAATTTACAGTACTGAAATGTTTTAATTCAGTACTGGACTGCAAGAATTAGTTCCTTTAATTTTTTCTTCTTATATGACGAAAGACAAAAAAATCATCATTCAACAATAGGCATTGCATTTCTTACCCATCTGGGACCATGCGATTTGTCCTCCTTTAACCACAATCTCTGGCTTAGAACCAAACAGTGCTGGATTCCACAACACCAAATCAGCAAGCTTTCCAACCTGCAAATTATATTTGCACCCTAACATCAGTATGCATATTCTCCATACTGTTCTCTGTGCATATTCAAAGGAATTGACAAAGAGAATTTGTTTCACAATCAAGAGCTTCTTTAGTTAGTGATCATTTCCTTTATTCTTGTAGCCTTACTGAGTGTGTGTTTCAGGGGGATTATTGTAGGGAGAAAATAGATGCTGGTCACACTATAGCTAGTGGTTAATGGATAAACACCCTAACATCAGTATGCAAACTCTCCAAACTGCCTCTCTATACCTTTGTTTTTGTATTAACAAGGAGAATATGTTTGACAATCAGGAGTTTCTTGAATAAGAAGTGATCATTTCTTTTATTCTTATGAACAGATGTATATTTGATTGACTATTGATGAAACATTATCTTCTCCCTCTGTTTCACAAAGCAAAACCAAAACAATTAAGAGGGAGAATCTAGCAATGTTTTTGTATCATTCGCTCCGACGAAGGGCTAACGCTCGAAAAAACATCAGCTTTTGTAATCGTTACGGTGGCCAATTTACCATTTCAACTTTGTTGATATATCCAAATTATATATGTATCACAGGTCATATCAGGCATTTTCTCATGAAGTTCTTTAATAAAGGCTCTTTTACCAGACTTGTTTATTTACCTCTATTGATCCAATAACATGTGACATTCCATGTGCCAATGCTGGGTTGATTGTGTACTTGGCTACATAACGGCGCACACGGATATTGTCATTGTCACCCTAGTGAGAACACAAATTAATAGTAACTGTAAATACATGCCGCAACAATTACAATGTATCATTCCCCTGATCACAATCAAATAAACAATTTTCCAAACCTGGTTATTAACTATACATCACTGGGCTTGATAAGCAATAAAAACTGAGCATTGGGAATTGCCAAAAAGGATGGACCCTAAGTTAATCGAAAAATTGTTATCTCACAAAGATTGAAATATTTTACAATTGTTACCTTTTCATCAGAGAGCTTTCCTCGCAGCTTTTTCATTTTGTCAGCTGTCTGCCATGTGCGACAGATCACTTCTCCAACACGGCCCATGGCCTGCAAGGAGAACAAGATGACATTTCTGAGTTTAAAGTTGGATCTGATGTGATAAAGACTCTGGCAACTAAAAATACAGATGGTATAACCTACTCAGTTAGTACATGTGCTATATGATTGGTCAGTTTAACCAGCCAGTATTTTAAATAGAAACCTTCCCCATCTATTTGAACCCACGGGTATAATAAATATCTTACTGGCCTCGTTTCTAGGTCCATATGTATTGG